TATGTGTCTGTATATTATGTGGTTTTGTATTCATGCCTTCATATTTAAAGTTTCTATACAATATACTAAAGCACTAATTAGAGAGTATTAATAGAAATGCCTTATTTTCCTACTCTCATTTATAAAACTTATAAAACCCTATTAAGATATTGTCTAATATTTAAAAATGGATTTTAGAATTCCAGCAATAAACACTTCAAATTTTCATATCTACAGTCAAGAGATACCTATTGCCAAAAAACTAGACTGCATATAATTTTATTTATCCTCAGTTAACAAGCCCATTAGGTGTGGACTGTGCACAAGGGCATCAGGCCAAAAGAACCAAGGGTCGTGAGGATTGAATGCCAACTTGCTCTTCTCTGATGTGGCTGCAAGCTTACAGCCACAATGGCTCAGGGCATAAAGGTGGAGGTGTACCTTGTTAGAATTTGTGCAACATTCTTGGTAGTCCAGAAACGTTTACTGGTCACCAGGAGAAAACAGCAACGATCCAAAAGCATACAGGGTACTATTGTCCTGGCAGGTCATTGTAGGTTGCCTTAAATAACAGCTTTGGAATGCCTTGATAGGTCATTACAGGTTGCCTTAAATAGCACTCCCTTTATACTAATGGCTTTAAAACAGAAAGCATGACTTTTGTAAGGCTTCTGACCTCCAGGAGAATCCTCCTCCCCTTGTGCTTCTCCATTAGCAGAGGTTGACATCTGGATGTATTTTCAATAAAAGTAAAAAAATTATGAGAGTCTGAAGCCAATCAACAGGAAACTGGGAGGAAAAGCATAAGGGTTTTTAGTGGGGACATAGAAGATGGGGATCAGAAGTTGACACAATCACTGCACCAATCCATGGTATTTAATACTTATCTACCATATACTAGGGCTGCCTCTATTATAGAAAGTACTCCCTACTAAATTAACTCTTAAAATTTCAAACCTTTTGGGAGCCAGTGGGAGAGAGTAGTCCTGGGTCAAGCTGAAGGCCTGGGGGTGCTGAGGAAACTCTATTACTAAGCTAGATTCCTGACCTTGCTTTTCCTGACAAGGGCCTATGTTACCCAGGCTGATCTAACTTGTGATCTTCCTGCCTCTGCTGCCTGAGTACACAACTCAACCTTTAGAGATTTTATTTATAGAATAAAAGCTAAGAAGATAGAAAATGGTTCTTCAGGTAATTTTTATAATTTTTTTCTTTTGGGTGTGTGTTGGGGTGGGGAGTTGATATTAAGAGAGCCAGAAGAAGAAAGCTGGAGTATTTCATCTTACCTGTAAACCCTCCAACAGGTTATCTTTACCTGAAGGCTTCACATGACTACAACATAAACAGATCTAAGAAAATTAGTGATTCCTTAGTGTTTTTTAATAGCATGTATTTCAAATTCCCTTAATAACTGTGACTTCCATTTGTTTTTGAGGCAATGTCCCACTATGTTGTCCAGGCTGGGGGCCTATCTGTAGGCACAAATAGTCCCTCTACCTCACTGTCCTGAGTACTGGGACTACAAGTGCACACTATCATTCTCAGTCCCCATTATCTCAAAAGTGTCCTTTTACAGTTGTTCTGGTCAACATAGAAGTAAATCCAAACCTACACACTGCATTTGATCAACATGGCTCTTGTTAATCTATAAAAGCTGCTCTCTTTATCACTCTTCTACTCTATTGTGTTAATCTTTTGAAGAATCTAGTTATTAAATAAAACTTCCCATATCATGGATTTTCTACAATAAACTGTACCAAATTTCACTGCATCTTCAGTCATCAATTACAGTTCACACATCTCATTTTTATGAGCTGTCCTGAGAATTCTACTAACTTTAGGGACAAAGGTACCTAAGAAGGTATTCCATAAGCAAGGAGGAGGCAGAACAGTATAACGTTTAATGTTAATATTAGATATGAAGAAAGGAGGAAAACACAATTGTAGCCTATAATAAAAATATTTTGGAAGACCAGGAAGATAGATCAGTCAGAAAGTGCTTGCAAGCATGCATGAGGCCTGGAGCTTAGATTCCCCAGTGCTCACATAAAAAGTTGGGTGCAGCATCGTGTGCCTATGATATCCACACTATAGAAACACAAACAGGATTGATCCTTGGGGTCTGCTGGCCAGTCAGTCGGCCTGGTTAAACAGGCAAGCTCCAGGTTCAGTGAGAGACCCTGTTTTAAAAAGTAAAGTGTAGAGGAATATACTCAATGTCACCTTTGATCTCTACGTGCCCATGCCCACACTTGCACATATGTATATACATAAGGCCATACAAATATTTTAGATATGTGATACTAAAATGTCCTTTAAAAAAATCATATATCAGAGGATGCTATCAAACAAGCTAAAAGGGTACTAAATCAATATTTTAATAAGCTATCCATTTCACCTTCTTACATAATGTCACAAAAAAGAGTCAAAGTAAAACATGGGACACAGTCAATAAGCATTAATAGTTTATCTAAGAAGAACATATATACAATGAAAATCATTTGTTTTGGCTTTGAGGGGAAATACAGAAGATGGCTACTTAAAAAGTATTTTCTTAAAGTGCTTGGTGAAGCCAGGAATGGCAGTGCGCCTTTTTAATACCAGCATTCAGGAGGTGAAGGCAGACAACTCTGTGAGTTCAAGGTCAGCGTGGTCTATGTATTGAGTTCTAGGTCAGCTTGACTACAGTGAGACTTTGTCGCAAAACAAACAAAAAAGTGCTTGGTATTTTAAAACCACAGTCCTATAAAAAGCAAAGCACACCACTTTCCAAGTTTCCTATTCTGCTTTAGCCCTCACATTAGGGATTGGATGGGATCTATTCATAATGTATTACAGAACTGGGAGAGCAACTGGAGGGTTAAATTTCATATGCAATGTAGTGATTCCAATGTAGATAAACATTCTGTACTAGCCGTTGACATTTAAGAAAAAACTACATGTACCTTAACCACTCGGTGCACTTTGGCTCACCTTTCAAATGCCAGCTCAGATATGAAAGTGTTTTCCATGTATACAGTATTAATCATTCCTCTTTTGAACTGTAGTCAGCACTGGCTTCATAACTGAACTAGCTGAACAGATTTTTTTTTTAATATTAATGTAAGCAAACCAGAATCTATAGGAATGAGACTAGGACAGAAACATTGAAAACAATTCTCTATCTCAGTGGTTCTCAGCCTTCCTAATGCCATATGACCCTTTAATACAGTTCTCCTCACATTGTGGTAACCCACAATCATAAAATTATTTTCATTGCTATTTAATAATTATAATTTTTCTGTTATGAACTGTAATGTAAATATCTGTGTTTTCTGATGGTCTTAGGTAACATTTATAAAAGGGTCCTTTGATACCCCCCAGGGGTCATGACCCACAGCTCCAGGCAGTTCCAATATACATCAGATAAAGCTTCTCTGCTTCAATACTTGCTATTGGTCTCCTTTATCAGCTTATCTTTTTAGCTTCTGTTGAATTTGTCTCTTTGGATATGTCTGGAAGTTCTTCAACTCACTATTGAGTACAAAATAGAACTGACATCACATATTATATACACTAAGTGCAAAAACTGTCCTCAACTTCACAGCCTGAACAGAAAAGACAATACGTAAATAAAAACAACAAAGTAAAGTAGTGTACTTTAGTCATGGTCTAGAGTGGGGATATAGGAATGGAAGACCTGATTTTATTTACTAGAATTCAGGACTGAATCAGAAAAGGTATCAGAACTCCTTGAAGGGTCTTGTCAAGAATGCAGTTTTAAACTGGCATTTTAACAATTTAAATGTAGTGTGATTAAAGGCTAAAGCTATAATTTGGCAGTAATTTGGTACAGGCTGGAGATGTAGCTCAGCTGAGAGAGTGCATGGGAGGCCCTGAGTTCCATCCTCAGCATCACATAAAACTGAGTGTGGTTGAGAAGGCCTTCAATCTCAGCACTTGGGAGGTGGAGGCAGGAGGATCAGGAGTTCAGGACTATCCCTGACCACACAGAAAGTTTACATCAGATCCTGTCACAAAAATAAACAGGTAAGCAAACAAATAAAAAAATTTGGAATAGGAGGAAATTATGATCTTTTATCCCGAATTTTAACTATCTTGTCTCGAGACATTAAAAACAAACATAATTGAGGAACTAAAATTATTCTGGCTTCCGGAACACTTAAGGTCAGGAGGAACAGTATTTCCTGAGGCAGGAAGTGGCAAGTCACTCTTGCTTTCACAAGTTGGTGGCCAAGGCCATGTTTTCAAACTTGAGTAGAACAGAACTGTTAGGATCCTTAAAGGTTTTTTTTTTTTAAACTAGAAAGATTACATTGGTCAGAATGCGGCATCAAACTTTTTTTCTTGAGTCTGAAAGAGATACCTTATCTCTCTCTTTGCATCACTCCTTCCGACTAAATCAAATGAAAACTTTTAACATAAGCCAGTCTATGAAGTTCAAGGTCAAGTCTGGGAAGCAGTCAATATGAGCAGAAGTGGCTCCTATACTCTTTGCAAGTTCCATTCAGCAGAATAGCATCTCCTTGAGTGAACTTAGCTACTTTAAACGCTCTATAAGAACATTAAAAAAAAAAAAATATGGCGCACAGCCAAGTCTCCGGAAGACATCACTAAGTAAGCTACCCCTTGCAACCTGCCCCAAAAGCTGACTATAAGAGTCAAACCCTCAAGGTTGTCTAGAAAGCACATACCCAGCCCAGTAAATGTAGTAACAGTTTAGGAATCTGTGTTGTAAGAGATTTGTTATTTGTCTTTATGCAAAAATAGTCACTTTAGTTATAAGAAGACAAAAAATGAGGAACTCAAAATATGCATTTCCTTGCCCTCTTGCCAGGTACCTTCTTAAAGACCAAATGACCATTGCAGTGACCTATTATGGCCACTACTACTCCCAGGCTCCTAGGCATCACAGAAAAGGGGGCCTTAATTTCTGGTGATAATTATAAAACAGAGTAGGTAGTTATTCTACATGAACAACCCAGGAGTTGAAACACCTTGTCCTCTGGGTGTCTACTTACCCTCGGTAATATCCTGGGGGTTAGAAGTCCGGTCACTGGAAGGATCTAGGGCAACAGTTGCCAGAGAAGTAGTGGCCCCAGACAGTTCACTCATAGGCTCACTACGGCTTGTTTCTGGCACACTTTCTCGAGAGCTAAATCTTACTCTGGAACTAGATCGAGAGCTGAGGTCCGGGCTGGTGTCTGACAAACCTGGAATGTCATCAATCTTGGTTGGTGTCACCATGAACCGAACTGAAGAAATCTTGGTGGTGGGTTCTGGAGGATGCATTTTTCCCCCCTTTCCAACAAAGAGAAAAGGAAAAGCTCACAAAAACTCTGCCTCCTACGCTAGCTACTTTTGATTGCAAAAATAGAAAACTTAAAAAAAAGAAAAACCTCAATTACCTTGATTTACATCCCACAAAGGCCCAAATTAAGAATCCTTTTACTTAGAATTCGAGCCAACTGTTTTTATAAAGTGCACCACCAGTAACTGAAAAATAATTTTTGAAAAACAAAATGAGAACAAAACGACACTAATCTTGTGTAACTTGGCTCCTTCAGAATCCTAGCTATCTCCCCTGGTCCAGGGCTGAGGGCTCCATGCCATGATCTCCCAGCAGCTGATGACGCCTCTCTCTGCTCAACCCCCAGGTCCTGATGAGGTAGTTAGTCCTTTATCTGCCGAGTGTCCCACACTTCTAGCTGAGGAAAGAGCATGCAGGCCCACCCTTATCAGACGACTATAGCGTGGATCAGATTGCGAAAAGGTGTGCACCGACCACCTGTTGTGTATCAGGTGAATACCCCACAGGTCTGGCTGGGAGGAGGTGTGTGCTGAGCCACCCGATGTTTTTGAGGTCCACAATCCACTTGGGTCTGGTGGGAGAGGTGCACATGCATAACGGGAAAAATAACCCCACACTACAGGATGGAGAGAAAGGAGAGCAACGAGAGGATGCCGGGGCAGAGTGGATTCCTGCCTCTCAGAGATCTCTTCCTGGCGGGGGAGCTAGCTGGAGGCGGCGGCTAGCGGATCAGGGCAGCTCCGACAGCAGCTCCGGGTCGTGGCAGGTCGTCGCGAGTCCCTCGAGCCCACGACCGCTCGCCGTGTTTTGTCGCGTGTGACAGGGCGCGTTTCCCCCCCCCGGGCCGGCGCGGGTGGCCTCTCGCCGGGTCTCCTTGGGTTTCACCGAGAAGACGGCCACGCAGGCTGGTCTCAGCTAAGGAGGAGGTCGCAGGTGCGGGATCCCGCGCCAGCTGATGCGGGTGCGCGCGCAGCTGTTGTTTACTAGCCGCTAACTGATTCGGAGCCGCGGCGCGCAGGAGACCCCTCCCCGGCAGACGCCCGAGGCCGTTACGTGACCTCGCCGCCCCCCGCCCCGGGCGCGGCGGGCTGTACCCGCGCCGCCGCAGCCCTCCCTTTCCCGCCCCGCTCGTTCCTCATTCGAGGTTAACCGTCTGGAGAAGTCTGGGGAGCAGCTGGAGGGCGGCGCCGTCCCGCGGGCACCAGAAGCCCCGCCCGGAGTCTGCGGAGCAGAGGCAGCGAGTGTGCAGCGCGCCTGCGCGGGCCGGCGGATCTCACGTGGAGCACGCCGGGAACTGCAGTCCTCCGGGTCTGAACGTGTGTGGCGGGATGCTCTTTCTCGTGCCACCTGTGCCGCGTGGACTCTGGATGCAGTTCAGAGGCAGTCGATGCCCATTTACACCGGGACCGCAAGGGTCATCTTTAATTAGAGTATCTCTGGAAACCTTACCTTTCCGGCACCCAAACCTCCCATTATCACATCTATTTTTTTTAGATGGGACCCTCCGTGTAAATTTTCAGATGTCTTCTCTGAAACATCTGTATCTTCATCTTCAGTGTAGGTTCCTTTCCTGCTTCTTGTCCCTGTCCCCTTGAAAGTCGCAAGCCACGCTTAAATTTTCATTAATGAGAACTATGTAGACATGGAGAAGGCATTGAGGTATCTGCTCTACTGTCAACTAGTTTAGTGTTTAATGCATCAAGATGTTTAATAAATTTCAGTTCAGCAATCTTTCGTTTGAAAACTTCCTGTTAAGTTTGATCAAAATGCGGAAACTAGTAGGGAGTCTTGCCCGGGTCCTTGGTTCCTCTTCTTTGAAAAGAGTTAAATCAGCATATGGATCAGGGGTTAGAGAAGAGCCTGATTCGATTCCCAGTTCTCACATGATTGGACTTACAACTGCCAGTACTTCAGTTCTAGGGGATCTGACCTCTGAAGACGAGGCATGGAAGTGGTGCACTTACTCACTTATAAAGGATTTACATTTTAAAAGAATTAAAGACATGGATCAGAACCCTCATAATTCCTGGGTCTGGTAATCCTGCTTGATCAAATCACAATTCCCAGTCTAGTTAAAAGCCTGGGAATAGCCAGGTGGTGGCACTAGGTAGAGTGCTTTTCTAACGTTTACAAAGCCACAGGAAGATCAGGAAGATCAGCACTTGGGAGGAAGTCATCCTCTGCTACATAGAATTTGAGGAGAGTTTGTGTTCCATGAATCCTGGTCTCACATATGCCCCCCCAAAATAAGTGTGCTTTTCAAGAAACATTCAAGTTTTTCACCCCTACCCCCCCCACACTGATGAGGATAAAATCTAGGGCTTTCAATATGCCAAATTCTCTATCACAGAATACAGTTTTACATTTTCATGGGAATTTCATTTTATTTCCAGGCTTTTTTTTTTTTTGGAATTTCTCTGTGCAGCTTTGGAGCCTGTCCTGGAACTTGATCTGTACACCAGGCCAGCCTTGAACTCAAGAGAACCGCCTGCCTCTGACTACCAAGTGCCGGGATTAAAGGTGTGTGCCACCACCGCCCAGCTGCTCTAAATGTATGCTCATTGGTGTTTTGCCTGCATTTTAGTCTCTTGTGAATGTGTCAGAAGGCCTAAAGCCATCTCTTCATCCCTGGGGGATCTTCTTTCTAAGGCAGGCTTGCAGTTCATTCAAACTTCAGACTTTTTAAAGACATGCTGGCATTTTTGAACAATTTTTGTTGTCATATGCCAGTCTTTTTGCATTTACTTATATATAGTACCTAACTCACTCTTGCAGCTTTTTCCTTCCTGCAAACACTAACTGATAACCAGCTCACTAAAGGTATGTCTCAGATATTAATATCCAGGGGATCTTTTCAGTTCTTGCTAGATTCATGAGTTCCCTTTTTTTCTCTTCCATACTGATCAACTACTACTATTTCCAGGTTAAAGTCTTTTATTTTGGTTTTCACAGCTGGGGATATAGAATGCTAACAATGCTAATCTTTTTTTTTGGGGGGGGGTAAGGACAGCATTTTATCCAATACTGAAAAAAACAAAAAAAGACACACCTCCTACCAGACAGTTTCACTTGGTGGTTAAAAACTTCCCGGGGCTGGGTGTGGGGCACCCTGTAATACAGTATCAGAAGGCAGAGGCTGGCAGATCTGTAAGCTCAAGGCCAACCTGGTCTACATAGTGCAAGCCAGGGCAGTCAGTGCTACATTTTAAAAAAAAGAGAGAGAAAGAGGAAGGAAAGAAAAGAAAAAAACTTCCAGGACTGGTAGAGGGCCTAGCATACAAATCCTAGGTTCAATCCCTACCATAAACCAGGAGTGGTAATGCACATCTGTTATCCCAGAACTCAAAATGTAGTGGTAGGGGCTTGACACAGAGGTGTTCTTCCAGAGGGCAAGAGTTCTATCCCCAGCAGCCACATAAAGGCTATCACTCACTGTCTAGCTCTAGTCCCAGGGCATCTGACACCCTCTTCTGGCCTCAGTGGGTACTAGTACACATATGCATACACATGTAAGTAAAATACCCATATGCATGGTATTTTAAAAAATCTAAACAGCAAATTTAGGTAACTTTTAGACCTAGAGATGGCTTAGCAGTTTAGAGCACTTGATGATCTTGCTGAGGACGCAGGTTCCAGTTCCAATACCTATATAGTGGCTCAAAACCAGAACTCCAGTTCTAGGGGATCCAACTCCCTCTTCTGTACTCTGAAGGTACCAGGCATGCATGTGGTGAATGCACACAAGAAGGCAACAATACAGTGGGAAGACCAGATGTTCCCAGTTATCCTAAACCACAAAGAATAGAGAGACTGTCTCAGAAATCAAAACAAACAACTGCAGTAAAGAACCACCCTCCTAAACACAGAAAATTCTAGTTGTTTGCAGGTTTTTGTTAATTTTGTTTTGTTGTTTTTTGAGACAGGGTTTCTCTGTGTGTCCTGTAACTCACTTTGTAGACCAGACTGGTCACAAACTCAGAGATCAGTGGTTTGCAGAGTTTCTTTCTTTCTTTCTTTCTTTTCTTTTTTTTTTTTTTTAACATTTCTATAACCTTAGTAGGATTCTTTAAAATTGCTTATATACAATACTAAAAACTGTGTTCATGAAATGGGCTCAGAAATAAAATTACTTGAAAGGAAAAAGAAACAAACATATAATTATTCTATTTTAGTAGACCTACTACTTAATTGAAAGTTACCTTGACTTCTGTTAGATACATCAAATGATTTTTTTTCTTTCAACAGTCAAGAGGAACCCTGAACTTTACTACCTCTATGAGTATTCAGCAAGAGTGCAGAACACAATCGCTATGAAGTTTTAAATTAGTGGCACTGAGGCTGGAGAGATGGCTCAGCAGAAGACTCAGGTTCTGTTTTCAGCACCCACATGGCCACTGACAACCATCTCTAATTGCAGTTTCAGGGGATCCAATACCCTCTGTCTCTGTGGGCACCAAAAACAAACATGGCACACACACATGCAGGCAACACACACACATATAAAATAAGCATAAATACTTCAAAAAATTAGTGTCGGTAATTCAGATCCAATGTCATAATCCTGGAATGAAACTGATAAATGGTTAACTTGACAAGAAAAGGAAGTGGCCAACCGGCATGTCTTGAATTCCTGACTACAGTATTTTACTTCACCATCATTCTAATATGAAATAGTTTAATTAAAAATCACTTAGGTTAGCCAAGCATGATGGCACACATCTTTGATCCCAGCCCTTGGGAGGCAGAGGCTGGAGGCCAGCCTGGTCTAAAGAGTGAGTTCCAAGACTGCCAAAGCTACACAGAGAAAAGCTTGTCTTGCAAAAACAAAACTCAAAACAAATTGTTATAAAATCACTTAGGTTGCTAGGTGTGGTGGTTCACACCTTTAATCCCAGCACTGGGGAGGCAGAAGCAGGCGGATCTGTCTGAGTTCAAAGCTATCTATGAGCTGGACGGTGGTACATGCCTTTACTCCCGGCACTTGGGAAGGCAGGGCAGAGGCAGGCAGAGTGCAGTCTGATCTACAGAGAAACTCTGTCTCAAAAAAAAAAAAAAAGGAAAGAAAAAAATCACTTAAGCTGTCCCACTGCAGTGTCAAAAGTCCTTAAGCTTCTATTTCATACATACATGCACACATACATATTACAACACTAGATTGAAAAAACCACAAAAATCCTTTCATGAATTTCTCATGCCGCTTCAAAATTAAGTGTGGGGCATTACACATAGCTGCTGGCTGCCAAAGTGAATATAGATGTAACAGATATAGGGTTAATATATAAGCTGACTAGAGAGAAAAAAGTGTGGGTAGATTTCCAGGACAGAAAGTTTGGTCAGTGACATTCCCACTTATGACAGCTGAACAAACAACTGTACAATTATTAAGAAGTTTCACCTCCACACTTAAAATTGAGAAAACAAAAAAACAGAGGATTAAACAAGTTGAGTGCTTTTACTCCTTACAGAAAGAGGGGGGAACAGTACCAGTTTCCTAACTTCCAATTCAGTTTTAATGCTTTTATTATTCTTTGAGGAATTCGGAATGTGATTTAAAAGGGCCACAATTTACTTCAGGGGCGGGAGTATATTTTAAGTGAACTCTGACCCCAATAACCTAACACTCACAGTGCAGTGCTACTTCAAAAGTGAGGGCTTAACGTTGTTCTCAAGTGGTCTTGCACTAGCAGCGGTACTACCCTCCCCCTTCTTTTCCTCCAACCACACACAAAATGAACTTTCAAGCCATTGTATCTTTAATAACCTGGCAGTAATTCAAAGTATAAAAAACAAGTTAAGACTGTTCCTTTTACGGGGGATGCCCATCACGACAGACTCAATCACGTAGTAAGAGAGGATTCCAAACAGCATGGGAAGGCTTCACTGCTCACGGACTGACGCGTTTGGTTACCGATAATCGGGCTGGGGGCGGGCAGCACATGAAATTAACGAACCCTCAGAGAACAGGACGCGGTTGCTGGGTCATGAGCACCTTGAAGCGTCTCTTGATGGTGATTCGGTGTCTCGAGTATTTGTCGTCTGGGGAGAACCGAGCAGGATGGGCAGAGCAAGTCTGCTGTCCCATAGGATCAAATTTCTGCTCAAGGAAAAAAAGAAAATGATCTCAATATATGAGTGGTGTGATAGCAAGGGAACAACAAGAAAATGGGAAAGCTGGAGCCAGGAGACGCGGCGGTCAGAAGAAGAAGCCGCGCACTGCCCAAATCTACCACGTTTCGGGCCGGACGTGGCTCTAAGCCCCAGGCTGCTCAGGCCGGCAGCCGGTTCCAACTGCTCCTCCCACCTAAATTTCTCTTCCTCCCGATTTACAGCTGTTACCTCCCCTTACCTTCAACGTATAGACGCGATCGCCCTGCTCGTTGAGGTAATACTGGAGAAACATGACTGCAACTCACAAGAAAGTCGCCTACCAGTCTGCAGCCAGCCGCGTTTGCCGGGAATGCACCGCCTGGATCATGCTCGCCAACATCCTTCCCTTCTGCCCGGAAGCCGATAAAAGGCATGCCGGGAAATGTAGTCCATTTCTCCAGTCATACCCAGTTGACCAGAAGGGGGCATCGTAGAGCAGGACTTGGCCTTGGACTCCAACTAGCTACAACCTTGCAAAGTTAAGAGCCATGGAATTGCCCACTGTGTGCCAGGCACTGCCAGACATTAGGAGGTAGGAATGGGTGTGGGTTAAATGTTGATGCATCCAGTCCTATCTTTACTCTCAAATTGCACACACATTTCAGAGGCATTGGTTTTGTAGTTCCTGGAGAAACAAGGGCTCCAGGATTCTCATCCTCCTATATCCTAGGGGAGATGTAAGATTTTTTTTTTCAGACCCCCACTTTTACATCCGGTTCCCCGCCCCATTTCAAAGTATTGGCGGTAAAGAGTGCATGATGGGTATTCGATATTATGCAAAGGGAAAAGAACGTAAAGGTTTTCTTATGAAATGGTGAATTTTGTTTTAGAGGCCGAACCAAGATTCAAACTCAGGACTTGACCACAAATTCAGCTCTTTCTTAAATGGTGAGTAGCGAATAATATCACAATAAGGTAACTTTCTTGGAGTATTTCCAGTTTTTAAAAGATGAAAAGTCTTATAAGAGTCTAGTTTAAAAAAATAAAAATTAACATTGCAAAATGATCATTGTAGCACTACTTATAGTGGCAAAAATATTGTAGCATATTAAATTTATAGCCATACAAACCTTAGTTTTTTTTTTTTTGTTTGTTGGTTGGTTTTTAAGTAATGGATATAGTTGGTTTGCTTGCCGTTGCCTAAGGTGCATTCAAAAAGCCCGGGAATTTAACGCTTGCTTGTAACCCCAGAAGTCCGGAGGCTGAGGCGGAAGGATCTCCAGCAACCAGTAGGTTCTAGGTCGGCCTGGGCAGTATTCCGAGCAGTAAGACTCCACTTTAAATCGAGAAACAAAAAGCCAAACGGCGTGTGTGTGTGTGTGTGTGTGTGTGTGTGTGTGTGTGTGTGTGTTCAGTATTCCGAAGCAAAAAGCCAAACAGTGTGTGTGTGTGTGTGTGTACGTGCGTGCAGTATTCCGAAACAAAAAGCCAAACGGCGTGTGTGTGTGTGTGTGTGTGTGTGTGTGTGTGTGTGTGTGTGTGTGTGCGCGCACGTGCAGTATTCCGAAACAAAAAATCCAAACGGTGTGTGTGTGTGTGTGTGTGTGTGTGTGTGTGTGAGCGCGTGCAGTATTCCGAGCAATAAGACTCCGCTTTAAATCAAGAAACAAAAAGCCAAACGGTGTGTGTGTGTGTGTGTGTCTATGTGTCTGTGTATGTCGGTGTCGGTGTCTGTACACGTTTATGCACATATGAGATTTTGCAATGAGATTTGCACATATGGGATGTACTACAAACAGTTAATACTAGCATCTTTGGCATGGAGGAGGACTTGGTTACAGGGAATGAATGGGAAGAGTGCTTGCTGCTGTGTATTTTATTTTGCATACCCTGGATTTTTTGTTTTGTGTGGTTTTTGTTGTCGACCATTTAACACACACACACACATACACTGAATTTTATTTGTTTCCCCTCCCATATCCTTTTATTCCCTTTTTCCTCCCCCTTCAAACTTTCCTTTGACTTTTCAACTATGCTAATATATGAATTTAATATAATTAATTTAATATCGTCAAAATGTAATTTAATGAAAATCTTTATAGTAATTTTAAGGCAGGGGTTGTGGCCCAGGACTCTAATTTATGTACTCAAGAGGCTACCGCAAGAAGGTCTTAGGCTTGAGCCTAGGCTATATAGCCAGACTCTTGTCTCAAAAAATGAAAAAGGTACTGGAGTGATGGCTCAGTGGTTAAGAACACTTGATGCTCTAGCAGAGGACCCAGGTTCAGTTCCCAGCACCCATGTGACAACTCACAACTGTCTGCAACTCTCTAGTTCAGGCTCTGACTCCCTCTTCTGGCTTCTGGGGACACCAAGCATGCACAGTTGCACAGTCATACATTCAGACAAATATTCATACACACAAAATAAAACTACCCTTTAAAAGAAGTACTAAAGATTACACCTTTAAAAAAAAAAAAGGTACAGGTCTTTAATCCCAGTACACAGGAGGTAGAGACAGGCAGATCTCTGCAGAGTTCCTAGCCAGCTAGGGCTACATAGCTCACCTGGTCTTGAGGGAAAAAAAAAAAAAATATATATATATATATATATATATATATATATATATATATATATATTTTAATTTAGTGGAAAAGGCTATGGCTATGAATTTCAGAGCTGTTGGGACTGTACTTTGTGAAGATTGCAGAGAGGATTTTTTTCTTCAGATAATTAGTCCCATTTGTAGTTCAAACTTTCCTCAAACTTCTGCCTTAGCCTCCCTAGTGGCAGCTTTTCAAGAAGGTGGTGTTCACACCACAGCAGTTGGGCACCCTGGGTCATCTGAAACACTCCAATGTCAAACATTTCGTTTTCTTGGTCCTCAACTATACAAACTGTGCAATCCAAATTTGGCTCAGAAAATAGAGTTATTGTTGTAACAAGCCAAAGGCCTGCCCCTAATCTGCTATTAATAGTAAGCCAGTTATAGACCTGGAGGAACCGAAGGGCACAGGATTAGATATGTTGTTGGAGAATAGAAGAATGAGAAACTCAAAGCAAAAACTGCTATGTGTAATGTTGAGAATCTGAGGAGCGATGTACAAATTGTCCGGAGGGAAAAAGAAAAAGACAGCCCCCCAAAAAAGAAAAAATCGGCACCCAACAATCACATTATTAAATTAATTTAGAGGAATTTTCTACTTTTTGCTTACCTACTAGAACCCACCTCATCGTTTTCACCATGAAATACCCTCTCTCCCCTCCCCCACTACAGAATGCCAGTGTCCAAGATTCTAATTCTGTTTTGACCCAGTCTTTACGATACCTTCCTTGGAGATCCTTTGTTAGAGCTAGGTTACTGCCTGGTTTCTGGACCCAACTGTTTTCATTCTAGAGGCTTCCCGACAGCCACTGTTGGTTTACCTGAAGCTCAGATGATGGCATCAGACAGAAGTAAGGCTGGGGTGGTGGAGAATGTAGGGTATCTGCCAGCTGTTTACATCCCTGGGGTGTCAGATTTGTCACTTTACCTAGGAACAATTTATTTAGGCTAACCTAAAGGGATGTGAGACATTAGACCCCACACAAGCATTAGGGAACCCAGGGAAGTAGATTTTTACCATTAAGAATGGAGGAAGCCTCCTTGGAAATGAACCAAAGTGCCTCAGGAGTAGCACACTGAATATAGGGAATTGGACAGCAATTCCCAGGAAGAGGTTGCACTTTAACATGTATGGGGTGGAAGCAAAAGTTTATGTACAGTATGAGTAGCATAGTCAAGGTTTCAGGGAAGACTCAAGATCTGTGTCTTCTGGCAGCTACTTCCTGCTCAAGGACTCTGCCATGAGAAGCAAGTAGGCTGATGAATGAAGAAGAGGGAATTGGGCCAGGGGGACTGTCGGCTTACTTGGAGAGCTAAAACTCTTTGGGGGATATTCATTTAAGAGCCAGTGAATGAGGCTAGGGATATTATAAAACTGATTGTACCCCAGACCTGAGGGCTCCCACCAGCCAGAGGTGGCTTCTTATTTTCTTCCATAGTAATTTATTATGCATGTATCTGGAAGTTGGAAATCCTAAGATCCAGGTTCCATCTAATTAGTGTTCTGGGGAGGGTACTTTTCCTGCCCCATAGACAATTTCTGTATACAGGTATGTGCTCCCGCATCTCCCTCTGTGTGTAAAATTTTTGTTTATTGAAATTGAATCCAGGGCCTTGCTAGACAAGCATTGTAAGAGCCGGAGTCTGCAGCCCTCCTTGCACTTTTTAGTTTGAGGTGAGGTCTCACTAAGTTGCTCAGGCTGCCCTTGAACTCCCTCTGTAACCTAAGGCTGCCTTTGAACTTGTGATCTTCCTGCCTCATCCTTCAGTTGTAGTAATAAACCTGTACTTTTTTTTTTTTTTTTTTTTTTTTTTTTTTTTGAGACAGGGTTTTTCTGTATTGCTTTGGAGGTTTCCTGGAACTCACTCATATAGACAAGGCTGGCCTCAAACTCATAGAGATCTGCCTTCCTCGTCTCAGCCTCCGAGTGCTGGGATTAAAGGTGTGTGCCACCAACACTCAGCTATAAACCTGTACAAATTTTTTAAGTATGTTTTTTGTTAGGGGCAGTCTTTCTTTCTCCCTTTCTTTCTCTTTTTTTCTCTTGCTTTCTTCCTTTCTCTTCTTTTCTCTTGTCTGTTCTTTCTTTCTTTTTGTTTTTTTTTTTTGTTTGTTTGTTTTGTTTTGTTTTTTTGAGACAGGGTTTCTCTGTGTAGTCCTGGCTGTCCTAAACACTCTTTTGTAGACCAGGCTGGCCTTGAATTCACTGAGATCCACCTATCCCTGCCTCTCAAGTGCTGGGATTAAAGGCATTCACCACCACCACTAGCCACGGGGTGGGGAGCAGACTTTCTTGACTTTCAGGATGGAGAAGATAGGTCATCTTAGCCATAGGGAGATGCTTGGTTTTCTTATCTATTGTGGAGCTAAGACCTTAGCAACATTTCACAGTGTGCAGAACTTGGTGGTTATAACTTGACCCTCTGTTTTGTGACTTAGATGAGTATGAACGTAAGTTTGTTCCTATTTCATGTCTCCTTTGTGGTCAGGAATCTGAGTAGTGCTGGTTTGTCTGTGAAATAACCTTTTTGAAAAGAGGGAGAAGAACAGCATGCAACTAGGCCGATTAGGTTCTGTTTTTATCATTAAAAGTTATGTGGCTGTCCCTGTGGATATCATGTGGATTTGGCCTTGTTGAATGAAGTACACACTTGTGTGCTTATCCCCTGCTCTATCTGACTGGCTTCCCATAACTCCTCCCCAGCAGCAACTGTGTTCTAGATTGCCTTCCTTCTTAGCTCCAGCTCAATGCTTTATTCTTTGTGAGCCGACACTTCTAACATTAAGAGACAGGACCACAGATAATCTGTACTGCCGAATTTCAACTTGTCCAGTTGCCACTGAAGGCACTGGAAATCTCTCTCCCTCTATGCCCCCTCCCATTTCCTGGTCCTTATCTAATCCTTCCAGCTATTCCTGGCTGTTGCATAATGAAGTTTCTGGAAAGCAAGAATCCAGGCTGCCGTACCCTGTCCTGGGGGCTGTACTTCTGTGGATGTTGACAGGGGCCACAGAGCAGCTGGGATCAGGTGGTTTCTGTCTTGTGGGAGTAGTCAGGGTTAGTAGGTGTTCATGTGTGCTGGTGGCATTATTTTTGGAGAAATGAGCTTCGTGAGTTCTAGAGTCATTGTGCCTATTCATAAGCTGCACCTTCTATTGTTTGAGATGAGGAGATTAGGAGTAAGAGGAGTAAGGGAAGGGAGGAGAGGATGGATCAGTGTTTGTGAAACAGCCTCCTCAAGGACCCCATGAATGCTTTTCGAGGGTTTAGAACTTTCCCAGCAGCCAACCTGCTTGCACAACAGTTGTCGGTCCTATTTCACTCCTTGACCCGGCCGTGGAGCTGACAGGGGAGGGAGGTCTCCATCAGTATTTTGAGAAAAGCTCTTAGAGGCAGTAGCAGCTTGAGCTTGTCCTTCTTAGAAGATGCAGGTCTACATGTCTTGTCGAAAGGGAGCAACTTTAGCACAGTAACTCAGGGGTACGGGACTCCTCGGGAGACATATACAAATCCACCCATCCATGTCCCTCCTTCATGTGTTAGGAGTCATTGCTCTGACCCCATAGGGACTAAAAGGAAGTCATGTGGCCTAACTTCTGGTCTCCTTCCTACTCCCTTCTCTTCTTGTCTCAACAGCCTCTCCATTACCAGGACCAGATATGGCCATGAACCCTGGTGCTGGCCTGCCCCCTTTCACTTCCATTCCCTTTGCCCCACCGACTCCCGTGCCACCAGACCCACCCCTCTGGGAGCCATCACCACAGCCCCCCATACCTCCTGCATTCTCTCCAGGCAGTCCTCTGCTCCTTTCTGCTTTCCCCAGCCCATTGTTAATGACAGGAGAAGGAGGCTCTGGCCCTAGTGTGGCTGGAACTGGCCAGGTCATTGTCAAAGTCAAGACAGAAGTGGGGCCAGCTGAGCCCTCTCAAAGTCAGAACCTTATAGTGACCCAGACAGCCCTGAACTGGATTACCTCAGGGGCTCCCTGTGGGGGCCAGGAGGGGCCTCCTCCTTATGTGACAAGCTCTAATATGAAGACCACTGTGCCTACTGTGGCTGTGGGAGTGAGCCAGGAGGGCCCTGCAGGTCTTCCTCTGCAGGCTCTACCACCAACTGCCCAACTGGCTCCCATTGTGCCCCTGGAAAAGTCTTGGCCAGGAACACAAGCTGCAACCATGGAAGGAGGTCCAGTGGCTGCCCGGAAGCCCTCACAAGGTGACCTTGCCTATGCTTCCAAGGGTGTTTATGAGAACTATCGTCGCTGGCAGCGCTACAAAGTCTTGGCCCGGACTCACCTATCCCACAGTCCTGATGCAGAAGCTCTTTCCTGCTTTCTTATGTAAGTGGGGGTGGGTACCCAAGATGGATGTTGCTAGGGCTTTTAGAGAGGACTCTAGGATAGGCACAGGGGTTGGGTCAATCCAGAATTCTTGAAGGCACTTATGAGAGGGAGAAGACACTGTTAAGAGAACTAAAAACATTGCTACATCTTTCCTGGCTTAGAAGAAATGTTCAGGTACCTACCTTTCAAAGAATACCTACAACTCTGTAGTCAGGAAAGCATTTTATGGTAGTCTTTATTTACAGATGAGCAGATGGAGAGACTTCCTGTCATAAAGCCAGAAGCAGAGATTGTCACATAGGTCCCTGACACCAAATGTCAGGGCCCTCTTGCCCTTTGACTCTGATGAGCTGGGATGCGGTGGGCTGAGCCCTGGCTCATTCCTATGGGTTAGGGAAGATGGCACTGGGCCAGGCTAAGTAAGACCTTAGTGTATGTGAACTCTATCTTACTCAGGAGTCAAGGTGAGACGGGGAGGGGATGGAGCACAGCTGGTTCCATGCATAGTAGATTTGTGATCAGGAGCAGGACATTTAACACCTTTGCCCTCAGTTTCCTCATCAGGAAAGGGGTAATTGTCCCTATCTCCGAGGGTTGACAGATTAAAGGTGACTGGCAAAGTGCCTGGCATAGAAAATGAGTCGCTTAAATGGTAACTCTTTTATTATTACTATAAAAAGGCAATCTTAAAGAGGAAGGGAGGCCAAAATATCCCTCCTTTTCAGTGTATGTATGTTTAGCCAAGAAGACTGGAGTTACAGGCTGTCCTTTTGTTTTGGTTGAACATCAGTCATTAGTCATTGGGGGAGATTTTCTCTACTTCTCAAGCAGACCGGGTTTCTCTAAACTGCAGACCATTGAGTGAACACTGTTTTACCAGACTTTGAAGAAAAAAAAAAACAAAAAAACAAAGCTTCCTTCCAATGGAAGAGCTCCTTCATCTGGACTTTGGAGCAAATGATCAAAGGACCACTCCCAAAGTCCTCAATAAACTCCACTTTCCTGACCTCCCAGTTCTCTCCTAGGACCTGGTGGACAGTTTCTAAATCTAGAACCGGCATGAGTTTTCGAGGTTTGTTTAGGGCCTGTGCCCTTTGGTTTCTGAACAACTCCTGCTTCCCATGCTTCAGTGTGGTAGTAGGGGCCTCATACCCGGCATGCTCCAGACCCTGAACAGTTACCTCCTGGGAAGCTGATCAGATGCTCAGTCCTGGGATCCTGGGGCTCTACAGCAAGCTTTGCCAGGTGGCTGTCATACTCAGTCATGTTTGAGGACTTAAAGAGAAGCCAGAGAGGTGAAAAATGAAGTCCTTACTAAATTTAGTCTGCACTCTTGATTTCCTCTAGAGCAGTCCAGAAGTAATGGTCTAATATTTTCTTTGACCTATGATGACAAACTGGAGACAAAGAAAACAAAACAAAACAAAACAAAAAAGCAACCCAATCTCCAAACTCAAACCTCAAAAACGACTACACATGTTTTAATTAGAAGCACATGTTGGGTTAGAGAATTGTCTTTTGACAGTTCAAGAGGCCCTGGACAGGGTTAAATCTATTTTAGAGTTTATAGTGTCCATTTACGAACCCCAGTGTTTTCTTCTTACTGTCCAGCTAAGGCTAGCACCGAAAGAGTTAGAGGTGGGTGCTCTGGCTGATTTCAGAAGGTCAAGAGGAGAATCATTTGATTTTGTGTGATGTGCATATGTAGATGGGAAGGACACCAAGAATGGCAGGCAACTGGAGGGGAGGCTGTGGAATTTGGTCATCTGATTAAAATGAAACGTGACGGGGCCCGAGGGGCATGCTAGAGTTGGTGAAGGAAGGGGGATATGGACTGAGGTGGGCATCAGAACAGCTGCAGGGCACACTTTTACAATGTGTCTGACCTCATGGGGGTTTTAGTCCAGTGCTTCGTTCCCTGGCCCGACTGAAGCCTACAATGACCCTGGAGGAGGGGCTGCCGAGGGCTCTGCAGGAGTGGGAGCGTACCAGCAACTTTGACCGGATGATCTTTTATGAGATGGCAGAGAAGTGAGTTGGATGAACCCTCATTCACCCTACAGGGGCGGGGGAGTGGTTGAGTGGTAGGGGCAGCAGTGACAGGCAGGTGTATGTATGTGTGTGTCAGTGTCAGGGCTGGGTTCTCAGCAGGTGAAGGTGCCTACCACCAGGCCTAACAGCCTGAGTTTGATCCTCAGGACCCACATGGAGGAAGGAGAGAAGTGGCTCTCAAAAGCTGTCCTCTGAGGTTCGTTCACACGTGCAACACACACACACACACACACACACACACACACACACACACACACACACACGGAATAAAGGAGTATCACAGCTGTGCTGTAGGCTAGACGAGATCTCCTGGATCCTCGCTGCTTCTCCCACCCGGGCTCTGAGGTTATTCTATCCTGTCTGCTCTTGACAACTCCCCTGCCTCCCAGTCTTGGCTCAATATGTAACTTTCTTACTGAAGGTGTGAGGAAAGGATTGGGCTCAGTGCCCCCCAAATTGCCGTGCTGAAGGAACCTCACCACAAAGGTTCTTTAACTCATGGATGACAAGCGGCTACTGATATGGAACTTGAGAATCACTTTTCCTCTCATGCTTTTCGTTTGTTTATTTTTGGAATTAACACAGAAAACCTTTTCTTCCCCATCCCAGGCAGGAACTAATTCTGCAAGAGGTTGGCCAAGAGAAATCAGGGTACTGGGAACTCAGAGTGGTCTCCTGACTCTATCCCCATCTCTACAGGATAGTTTTGGTCAAAATAACTTTGGCTGGCTGTGATGACCCCGTATCATGTGAGCCCAGGAGTTCAAGGCCAGCCTGGGCAACATAGTGAGAATGTCTATCTCAACAGTAATGGTGGAAAGAATCATTTCTTCCAACTGTACCTTTTACTCCCCCCCCCCCCAATCTGAACCTTTGGCTTCCTAGGTTTACCATCAGGGCCTATTCCAGCCTTTGCACTGTGGTAGGCTCTGCTTCCAGAATTTGGCCATCATTGTCAGTTGTAGAAAGGATCATTGTCAGTTGTAGAAAGGGCCATAAAGAGCAACCCTTTAGAGTGTATCTCTAGACCATTGCACAGGCCAGACTGAACGCACCGAGCTTATATTGAGTAGTGATGAATCCAGGGTACTGGGTGAGTTAGATAGGACACAGCAGTAAGGATGCCACTTTGTCGTGGAGAATTATCCAAGCTCAAATACCACCAGTTTCCTTAGTCAGCTTCTCCAGCAACTGTTGGAGGTAAAGGGACAATATGATGCTATTCCCCAGCATTGTCAATAGGCTACCTGTGAGCAGCTTTCCCTGGCTGACCTGACTTCAACAGTACTTAGCCAAAATGTGGGTGATTGTGGATGCTGCCTGGTGTCTGGGTTTCGGATGGGCTAGGTCTCCTTCTCAGCATCCCCTGTACCTTCTTTACCCTCTGTAGGTTCATGGAGTTTGAGGCGGAGGAGGAGATGCAGATACAGAACACACAGATGATGAATGGTTCCCCGGGGCTGTCCCCTGTAACCCCTTTGAAACTTGATCCAGGACCTCTGGCCCCTGAGGCTTGCCAGCAGCCAGGTAAGGCTACCCACAGAGCAGAGGAGGATCAGGAAAGGCTTTTGCTTCTGTCACTTTCTTTCCTGGAAGTGCCATTTTGTGAACCAAACACAATGCCTCAAAGGGTCTTGGTTCCCTTTGTTTTGAATTAGCTATTGATCTTAGCCAAGTAAACTAACTACTCTCTCATTTAGAATGTGCATGAGTCCTATACTTTATCAGCAGGTAGGAGCAGCCAGTTTCCAGCTTTTACATTTTTCTCCCCCAAAGCTTGACCCTATTCTGGAAGCATTTCTTGTACCCAGATTTCTTCCCTTACAAGCATTACTGGGAAGAAGATACTGGACTTCTTCAGCACCCCTACCTCTTCCCTCAGTGTACATCCCCAAGAAGGCAGCCTCTAAAACACGGGCTCCCCGCCGGCGGCAGCGCAAACCCCAGAGGGCTCTGGTTCCTGAGGCACCCAAAGAGATCCCACCAGAAGCTGTGCGAGAATACATTGACATCATGGATGGTCTGATGGGGAGTCACTTGGACACTAGGAAGACAGAGGAGGAAGAGGGGCAGCTGGAGGATGCAGGGATGTATCCAGATCCAAGTCTTCTGAGCTACATTGATGAACTATGTTCTCAGAAAGTCTTTGTCTCCAAGGTAAACTGAGTCTACATGGCTAATTTCTTCTTCTTCCTCCTCCTCTTCCTACCCCCCCCCTCCTTTTCCTTCCTTTGAGACAGTTTCTCTGTGTGTATCCCTGACTGTCCTGGAACTTGTTCTGTAGAAGACCAGGCTGGCCCTGAACTCAGAGGTCCACCTACCTTTAATGCTGGGATTAAAGGTGTGGGCTACCATACATGCCCAGCTATATGGCTTATTTCTAATAGATATTTGGGGATTGGGCACTATGGGGCACCAGTCACCTGGGATCCTGGATATGACCGTAGGCTTCATTCTGTAACTTGGAAGTGGGTATACATGCATGCACACATAGGTGGTTGTCACACTTTGTAACAAACTCCATGGTGAAGTGGGGGCATGGGCCTCATCACTTTGTGTCAAGATTCCCACCACTCTTTTTTCTGTTCCCCAGGTGGAGGCGGTCATTCACCCTCAATTTCTGGCAGACCTGCTGTCACCAGAGGAGCAGAGAGATCCTTTGGCTTTAATTGAAGAATTAGAGCAAGAAGAAGGACTTACTCTTGCCCAGGTAATCTTGGGAGGCATAGAACACCAGGAAAAGGGCCGGGCGGTGGTGGCGCATGCCTTTAATCACAGCACTTGGGAGGCAGAGGCAGGCGGATCTCTGTGAGTTCGAGGCCAGCCTGGTCTGCAAGAGTGAGTTCCAGGACAGGCTCCAAAGCCAAGTTCCTGGTTTGAAAAAAAAAAAAAAAAAAAAAAAAAAAAACCCAACCCAAACCAACAAAATAAAAAACCCACCAAAAAACAAAAGCAAAACAACAACAACAACCAAAAGAAAAAAAAAAAAAAAACCACCAGGAAAAGAAAGGAGCCTGCCTGCATTTGTATGGCCCTATGAATGGAGTATATGGGAAAGGCTGAAAGCAGAGGAATAAAGCCCCAAAGCAGAAAAGGCTGCAGTACCCATCTTTGACATCACCACTCAAGCACTCACTTTTCTTTCCCACACGGTTTATCTATCATCTCCTTTCACCCACTCAGCCACCTCTTCTTCTAACCATGTATAGAACTGGCATTTGTCCATTTCCTTACAGCTGGTCCAGAAACGACTCCTGGCCTTGGAGGAGGAAGATGCACAGGCACCTCCAAGTTGCAGCGGAGCTCAGTCAGACTCAAGTCCTTCTGTTTCTGATGAAGATGAAGATGGGGGTCGGAGGCCTCGGCCCTCACCTGGGCTTCTGGGGGCTGTGGGCACTGTTCACAATGGAAAATCTGCTTCTCCAGGCAAGCAGGCAAGAGAAATGTATGGTGGGCAGGAACAAGCCCTAGGTGGTGGTCCAAGGGGGATTCTCAGGGATGGAAACACTCTGCCATCCTCTAGCAGCTGGGACCTGCAGCTAGAACTTGCAGCTTCACAGGGAATGCAAGTACCCTTAGGTGTGGAGAGAAAAGGGTCTGGGAAGGTTATAAAACATCTATCTGCACATAATGATGGCCACCTGGGAGGTACTGGGTCCTCAGGGCACTACCCAGTGGCACATAGAGATTCAGAGTCTTTACTTTTTTGTTGGCAAGAAGGTCCCCAGGCCATAAGAGCTTCTAATTTGGATGTTGGACTTACAGAGCCAGTTCCTCTCCAAGGACTTGGATTAGATAACCAGGCCTTGGGGTTGCAGATAGGACAACAGATACGGGGAGTAGGGGTGCTTACTCAAGGGAAAGAACCTTCAGCAGTGTCCCAGGAAGGCTCTTCAAGGGCCATGTGGAGAGATGACAGAGGTCCTGCCATGGTTCAGAGTTTTGATCAGAACCATTCCCCTGGAATAGTTGGCAACCTGGACAGGGTTTCTCTCAGCCTTGATCAGAACCATTCCCCTGGAATAGTTGGCAACCTGGACAGGGTTTCTCTCAGCCCAGAACTGTGGCTGAGCAGTGATATGGACGCTGTATGCATAGAGTTTCCCTTACAAATCGAAAGGGTCATGGGAAGCACACAAGATGAGGTGTGTATAAGGACGGACCAGGCACTGAGTTCCAGAAACAGTGTTTCCCCAAGTCCTAGAAAAACCACAGTGCCAGAGGATGTGGGGAACACTGTGGTTCCCTGTGGAGGCACAGATGTGACAGCTGTCCTAGAAAAGAGAAACTCCTGTAGTTTGCCAGGATCTTTGATGGCCCTGGGGTCCAAAGAAAATCAAGAGCTCAGCCCTGAGACTATACAGGATCCCAGTGACCTGTGGGCTGAGGGTTGCTCCCCACTGCTAGAAACATTTGACACCTCCACACTGGGGTCTCCCAAAGATACCCTGATCCCCACAGGCCAAGACAATCTCCTTATTCTTGGGACCCAGGATAGCCTCTCTTTTCCCCAGGTTAGGCAAGAGGCAGAGAGCAGAGGTAATCTACTCTTTCCTCTGTTGGAAAACATAGAACATGTTAACATACTAGACATTAGAAATGACAGTGGCCCCCAACCAGGGGTCAGCAAGGATTCCTGCTCACCAAATTTTAATTCTTATAACCTGCAAGGAGAGGGCAGAGAAGATACTGTTTCCTCCAAACCTATTGACCTTGTTCTTTTACAAGGCAACCAAGGATCTTACCCACTCGAGACCAGCAAATCAACATCTGGCCAGGGCCTGAGAAGTACTTCCCCTAGAGGGGGAGTCAGAGGCACTTTAGTACTGAGAGAAATCTCGACTAGAGAAACACGATACTCAGCAGATAGTGCCAGAGCAAATGAGAAAGAGGAGGAAGAGGATGAAGAACTCTCTAACTTTGCTTATCTTTTGGCTTCAAAACTTAGCCTCTCTTCAGGAGGGCTTCCCTTCAGTACTCATCAGGCCTCTGGAGGTCAGGGCATCCAGAAAACATCTCACCCCTCTGCTGAAATAGATGACCTTAGCCAACCTTCTCCCCTTCCACACACATCTGGGAAGCAAGTCCTACTTAGGAGTCCAGCTACTGCTGTAGAGAGACCCCAGCCTGGGAGTTCTGGGAAAAAACCTCTTGCTCTAGGAATAATGCAGCTCCCTCAGCCTCGTAAAAGGCGGCGTGACGGTTTTGTCACGAGCAAAAGGAAGAAACGACGTCGTAGCCAGTAGAAGCAGAGGGCTATCCTGCTCCACCTAGCAGCACCCAAAGTGGGGGGTGGGGGTGCCCCAGAGCATATTTTACTGCTGCTGTTCCCTAGTGGGCTAGCAGCCCCAGCCCAATGCTGTTTTTGTTCTGTGCAAGAAGCTTGAGCGCCTGGGGCAGAAGGCCAGACTGACTAGGCTGTGGGAAGTAAAGGGAAATGACTTTGGGAAGTTACATGGAAAAATAAAGGTTGCTTTTGGTTACAAATTGCTCTGTGTGTGCTCTTCTGTGTGAGCATCTTGGCTGCTATGTAGAACAAAGTATTATAATAAAGGTAGATTCTGCAGATTTCCTGTATTTTTTTTTGCTAAGAATCACTTTCATGACCAGAACATGAGACCCCAGACTCTTCCCAAACCAGACAGGTCTGGTCTGGATACCCTATTATTGTCGGCCTCTTTTAAGTATATATATAGGTGAAGAAAGATGCTTTTTGTGTCTGTTAGATCTCAAGAGATTGGATTTTCTAAATCTAATTAATTTTACGTATTTTTTGTCATGACACAGCACCTTGGCTGGGGGTGCAGCGGGGACCTTTATTCCTTTAAGGAAGGATTTACACATCCTTAGCTCATGCTACTGTAGAGCAGCACCACGCGGTTGGTGTGACCTGGAGAAGACAACTTTACTAACAGGTCTCCAAGTACGGGCAATGGAATACACTCTTGGCGGGACTGTAAATATGGAATGGTGGGAAGCTATATTTTCATCTTTAATGAGGACAGAGCACGTGGGAATGGGATGAGAAAGACTTTCACGACAAGTCTTATTAAAATGTATACATTTTGTAGATGGTAACAGGAGGGGAAGATACAAAAATCACTGTATGATTTTCATGAAGGACATACCCCAATCCATTTGTGAGTGAGAGAATTCTGGTATGGCCGAGGTCAATCTTTGGAGTTTTTTTTAGAAATATCAATGGAAATCCCTAACCAACCATTCATCTCTTTCCTTTACAACTAATGATTCCACCCATGGGACCGAGCTTCATTTTTTTTAATATATATATATTTATATTTATATATAAAATAGTCTTTTACAAAAAAACCCCACCAAACAAAAAATTAAACTTAAGAAAACCAACAATGATAACAAAAAAAAAAAAAAAAAAAAAAAAAAAAAAATCAAACAGGAGCAGAGATGGGGTTGAGGTGTAGGGTAGGGCCTCTGGCGCTGTCCTGAGAGCAGGGCTGGATTCGAGCTGAGGGAAGAGTGTGGGAGGCTGAGGTGCTCAATCATCCTTCTGCTTGGGGGCTTGCACAGTCCCGTTGGCCAGGGCAGTGGGGCTGCTTGGGAATGAGGCATTTGGTATCTGGGAGTTGCTTCGAGGCTTGTGTGGGGGGCGTAGGTAGGTACTGAAAAGCTTTCCATACAGAGGATCATGGAGGGAGAAGTTCTGGAACTCACCTGGACAGGAAGCATAGGAAAAGTAAAACCACCTAACTGTGAAGAGGACACCTCTCCCTTCCCTTTCCCTAGAACTGGTACACCCAGCGCCTCCAATCTGTTTGCCTTCTCAATACAGGGCTACTTCCCCTCCTCCTCACTTGCCTGTTTCCCTGCCCACCTTGCCTCTCAGAACTTCTGCTTCCTAAGCCTGGTCACTAGCCCTTTCTCTGCCAGCTCAGGGCTTGAAACATATCCTAGTGCGGATGGTACCCCAGTGCCTGTGCAGGGTAGAGAAGGCAGTGACTCACAGAGGGAGAGTCCTTGGCTGCATCCAGGCTGGCACAGCTCCGCATGCAAAGTCGTGGCAGCAGGGTGGGGTGAACCCAGCAACAGGTGCAGGATGGTGCTGAAGCCATCTTTGTACAGCAGGCGGCCTGGTCCTTCTGCCTGCTCTTCAGCAAAGAGCTTGGGACAGAAAGAGATGCCTGTCAACTTCTCTCCTCCACACATTGCTTCATGTTGCTGGAAAGCCATGATGGGCTCCTCCTCTTCTAAGAACCCTGCTTGAGAGCCCTCTCAGACCTCTAGTGCCCTTTCTTTCAGGGGAACTGTACAATGTCTAGCTTCTGCCTTCTGTCCAGCTAGGCCTCAGTAGGAGATGTTGCAGAGAGGCAGTTTTAGGTAGTGTGGTACTCTTGGGTACTGACCATGCATCATCTAAAAGCTACTGAGAACAGCATAATATACCACCCTGCTGGGATGGAAGTGTGGGGTAAAGGGCAGCAGTTGTCCCACAGTCCCTTGAAGGTACCTCAAATGCCAGGCAGATCAGTTCCTCCAGGCTTCTGCCACCGTCCAGGGCTGCTAGTGCAAGGGCCACATTTCGGAAGTCCACCAAACCCTTGGCATCCTGGAGGATGAAAAGCCAGAGCAAGTTGGGGACTTGCTCCTGCTCTCTAGACTTTGTGGTTTCTTTCACCAGGCTTAGAAATGAGGGTTGTAGCTAATCTGTTCAGATCTGAGTACCACACTCCCAAGGACTCCTGAAGTTCTTAGGGCTACAGCCATGTACCATCTAGTAACAAAGCCCTCCCGCAGAGACCTAGGAATGGCAGGGAATCCCCCAGGAATTCTGAAGTTACCACCTGTTCTGAGAGACCACAGGAGAGCAATCCCGTTTCCAAGCCAGATAAACTGGTTTTCCTCTGACTCAGGCTATGTGGGAGAACTGGTCCAACAGATTAGACTGAAAGGGGGACACTGATCTAATTTTTTTTTTTTTTTTTTTAACCAAAAATCCAAGCAGGATAGATGCTATCTATGCCAGGTCAATGGGGCACATGTTGGCTGAGATGCAGACAGTCTCCCCCAATCTAAGAAATCCGCTTAAAATTTTTAATTATTATTATTTTTTAAATTGAGATAGTATCTAACTAGGCTGGCCTTTTGCCTCTGCTGAGGATGTTGAGACCATCTGTGATTTAGCACAAACAAATCCTTTTGAGAAGCTAGGGGAATAGCTAAGGTATAAGGAGTACCTGCTTATCAGAAAAAAACCGAGTCTGTTCTTAGCACTTAAAAAGAAAATACAAACAAACTAGAAAGCATAAAGTTTGCCAAAATTCTTGAGTTACTTCAGGAATCCTCTAGGAAGGCCAACAGGATGTTGGAAAAGACCCTGTCTCTGTATTGCAGCAATCGTGGGTCTCAAGTTCTCAATCGTCTAACCTAATCAGTGTCTTCTCCACCTTTTTCCTTCCACCTAACCTTCATGACCCTTCTGTGAAGGTCTTCACCCAGTGTCCCTCATGGTCATAATTCCCTATCTTTGCCAATCTCTAAAGTGGCTCCAGGCTCTCTGATGGACTCTCTGACTTTTGTTCCTCCCCGTGACTATAACATTGTTCGCTCTATGTACTGGACACTGCACAAAAAAGAAAAGTATGTCCCAGCACATCTTGTGGCCGGCCATTTACAAGGTGTATTACACTATGCAGAACAGACCTGCAGTGGAGCAAACAAACTAGGCTTATGATTTGACGGGATACTTGGTTATATTTCTGGAAACACACTTTGCCAAAACTGACATTCTCACTAGGACATCACCTCTAAATCCTGAGCTTGTTGGCTCAGAGGGCAAGCCCTTGGGTTCTAGCGATATTACCTGCTGGAAGTAACTGAAGGCCCCAGCCACTGTCTGAGGATCTGAGAGCTGTAGCTGCTGGGCAAATGCCTCTTGGCTGATCATTCGACTTCGGCCTGGCTCTGCCCCCATGTCCATGCAGCCAGGGGACAGCCTACGATGGAATTGTTGACAGTAGTGAGCCGACTCTTGGTTTCCTTTGGAATATGCCAAACATAACTTTGTCCCCAGCACTAGGCTCCCAGTGTGGGCTCATCTGCCATCCCCTCTCCCCTTGTCCTGAGGATCAAATCCAGCATGGAACTTCTTCCTTCCCTTATTGTCCCTCTTCTAGTGTTCTGTCTGGGGTACTTCTCATACCCTCATCTTCAAGGTAACTTACCCAGCCTTCTGTAGCACCTTTCCCAGTTCCCAGAGCCGTGGCTCCAATGCCACTTTCAGCTGGCCTACCACGATCACAGGTAAGCTCCCCACAAACTCACATTCAGTGGCTGGAATGCCCAGGGCCCTACAGGACAAAGAGGGATGGAGAGCAAGATGAAGGCAGTACAAGAAAGTTCTGAGCTTTCATTAGACTCTGTCTGACTGATGTGGTCAGTGTCCTTCAATCTTTTCTCTCCTCAGTCTCCTCAGTCTCAGCTGGCACAAAGTCCCTCCCAACTAGCCCTTATCTTGGCCTCAAAACCTCCTGCCCCTTCTGTGGCTCCTCGGCCCTGCATAGCTGCTCCAGGAAATACTTTGTGGAACACCAGGAAATACTTGTAATACTCACTGTGCCATGACTCTCTGCACATTGTTGGCATAAAGGGTGGGGTCCTTACTCTCCTCGGGGCTGGGCTGATATACTGGCAGGAACTGAAAGACAGACACAGCTCTCACCAGGATCTGGAAGTAAGGCACGGCCGCTACTTTCTATTTTGCCCACCCCAGTAAGGGGGCACCATACCTCTACTTCTACGATGCTGCAGGGCTGAGAGGCTGTGAGCCAGAGAACTTTGAGTCTAAGAGAACAGAGACGGAGGGGTGTTAATCACTTTTTAAACCATCCTGGGCAAAGCAGTGGGATATTCTCTCAGGGTTATGGAAAATGGGATCCCTAGCTCCAGTTAACTAGAAGGCCAGAAAGGTGACGGGGAGAGAAGAGATGCAGGGACACACCAGGAGAAAAGCTGCAGGTGAGGGATGTCTGGGTACCAAGGAAAAGGGAAGAGGCTTGCTTAGTGGTGTGAGTTCTCCAGAAGAGACCACTGAGTGAGGACCCCCTCCTAACCCCTCCCCCAAACAAGAAACAAATACAGGGCAGTAAATGCAAAGGAACTGGTAATCACAGCAGGAGTGACTCGGGTGGGAAGACTAGAAGTACTGCCAAGTTATATAGGGAGGGCAGAGGGCAATGTTCTCTAGAGCCCTCAGTCCTACAAGAGTGGGTTGTTCATCTCTTATAGGGATTGGACCAGGGATGCTCTGGTAGACCCACCTCCCCACCCTTACCCCCCTCAACACTACAACTCACACGCCAGGGCCCCTCCATGCCCAGCTGGTGGTGTCCTGTGGGAAAAGCAGAGGGAGGGGCAGGTTACTTTGCTTTCTGGAAATCACTTTTAGCAGAGACCCCCGACCTGACCTCATGCTTCGCCCCCTGGGTGCGTGTCTTAACATGCCACCTTTCACCCATTTCCGTTTTGGAGGGGGTTCATGCTCTGTGCTTCCCCCCCTTTTCCACTGAGACTCACCAGACTGTTGGGGTACCGGATGAGGACAGGCTGCACAGGCACCCCTGCGATGAAGGCTCCTAAACCCCATTTCCACCCCCATCCCCCAAGGCAGAAGTTAGTACACGGAGGTAGTTACCCAGCATGAGGGTCTGGGACAAACCCCAAAAGACACGTGGCTTTGCCTCGCTAATAATTTTCTCTCTGACTCACCCTGTCAAGCATCAGGTAAGAGGCTTCCTGTCACCAGCACTCCTTGCCCTCCCTTCTACTTCTTAATTGCTCCTCCCTCAAGGCTGCAGCTCCGAAGTCTCCCCCATGACCTTTAACACCCACTATCATTTTCCTCACCTGGTTTGAATTTCAGCAAAGCCTTCTTGTTAGAACAGGTGCCTTCAGGAAAAAACAGTACCTGGGTGGAAAACCAAAATAAAACAAAACAAAAACCCACAGCGCAGCGTGAGGTGGGGAGGGCAGAGCAACCACCCAGCACACAAGACCAAGAGAGGGTCATGGCACCCTTACCCACCTGAGGCCACTTGCCTCCTGAGGTAGCCCGCCTTCGGACCTCTTCCACCACTCTGCGGCGAGAGGCTGGGTCATGCCTGGATACTAGGATGGCTTGATTGAACCGAAGAAGGGCTGGGCAGGGGAGGTTACAAGGAGGAGTCACTTGATTCTGACCCTGAGGCACTGATATCTGGCAGCTTCTATTTCCTCAACAGTGTAAGATATTTCAATAATCCATTTATTGCCACACAATCTATTTATTGTAGGCTGTCTTTCTAGTACCTTGTCTCTGGCCCAGCCTTGAAGTCTGGGATCAGTTGGCAAATGGTGTTGATTTGCATTTCATCTGCCAACAGTCAATACCCCTCTGAACTTCTCTCTCTGCACTGGACGCCCAGCCTTTTTTGGGCCCAAAGCCCCCCCCCCTTCTTGAATTCTCTCACCTCCAATGACAGGCACAGAAAGATTCTCAGCTCGAGATACAACCTTGGGCAGGTCACAGGGTAGCAGAACAATTGGGTCAAAGAAAGTGGAGTGGGGGGCAGCAACCAGGACAGGGGCTTCCAGGCGAGAGGCCCTCTGTCCCCGAACACGGATCCGAAGGAAGCCAAGCAAGAAAAAGAGCAGGCGGCTCAGACCAAGAACTCCGTTGTGGCATATAGTCCTGTCAGGGAAAGGCTGGGGATCAGTGGAGGGAGCTATGTCCTTAAATCAATCCTGTCCCTGATCCAAGACAGTAGGGACCCCCTTTTCCTCCTTCAAAACATGGTGGCCACTGAGCTGAGGTATTTGGGATAGGCCATTTAGAGGTGAGGTTCTAAGGACCAGATCTGGGCTTGGCTGAATCCCCCCCCAACCCCCCACCCCGGCGTGGGCAGAGTATGTAACGGGTCTCAGAGGAGTTGGCTCCCACTTACTTCCTCCATCCAGTAATTGGCTCCTGAAGCTGCTCTTCAGTGAGACCTGCAACTTGGAGCCATGCGAAGGGCCAGAGGAGAAAGAGGACGATAAAAGCTAGAAGCACTCGGATTGGAGCCAGCAGGACCCCCAGGAGGCAGAACTGCAGAAGGGCAGGAGAAAATATCCCTTAGGGCTGGGAAAGGCTCACTGCCAGCATCCACCTCCTACAAGGGCTGATCCATGGGCAAAGAGTTAACACCTTGCAGGTGACAGACAGAGGTACAGGGATCCAAGAGAGATGAAGAAGGCATCAGTGAGGCCAGGAGAAAACATTATTACTGCTAGGTGCCTTATTTTTCTCACTCTCAGTTGACTCCCATTCACCTAAAAAGGTTAATGTCATAAAACGAATCTAGTACTTGAAATGGCTGTTAAGAGGATTTAATGAGAGAATGCAGTGAAGCTGTCCAGCACTGTGTCTGATGTAGGTTAGAGACAGGTCCTCTTCCCCCAACATCCCATTCCATAAATAGCTCCTATGCCAAACAAAACAGGGGCAGAGCTCTTTCCACACTTTGGGCCCAAGGAGGAGAGATGGCTGGAAACAGAGATCCACTTTTCAAGCCTCCCGTAAATCAATCCTTAGGACTGCAGAACTGCAATCCTTAGGTAACGCTCTGCCCTATTCCGCAAGGTAAGGGTTGCCAAGAGCCAGGGTGACTCCAGAGGCTTCTCCTTGGGATCAAGCAGGTAAATAAACCTAACCCCTGGGGGGTCGGCCTCAGGGGAGGTGATCAAAACACAAACCTTGGACACTTCCTTCCCACAACTCCTCCTGGCTACCCTAGGGTGGTGCGTCCCTCTACTTCCTGTAGCCAACCCCCCTCCCAACCTCCCTGCCCCCACCCGTGGGTGCTGCAGTGTGTGTGTGGGGGGGGTGGCGGAAAGAGGAGATGTTGGAAGGGCACAAGGACGCACTCTTTGGGTCCAAACCGTTTAAGTCGAAGCCTGGAGAATCGCGGAGCACGCCCCTGCCCCCACCCCCGGCTTTCCGTAGCCTCAAGCTCCATCCTAGCCCGACAACCTCCGAAGGATGTAACCCGCACTCCCCAGTGTCCTCCATCTCTCCTATCCTTGGGTCCCCTTCAATCCTCCCTCTTCATCCACTCGTTTTTGCCACACTTCTGAGCCTGTCTATCGCTTAAGCTCGAGTCTTCATCGGGGCTCCTCGCCCACCCCCGGCCGCCCCCACGTGCGCACCCCCGAACTCCCTCTCCACAAGCTTCTCAGCCGCCTCCTCTCTCATCCCCAGGCTCATCTTAGCCTCGGCTCCTTAACACCCCGTTTCCCAACCCACCCAGACCTCCGCACGACCCCTGCCCACACCTTACCTTAACCCTCTGGAGGCCAGAGAGGTGTAACTCGTGCACGAACGGGTTTGGGGGCGCCGAGGACCCGGAGGTGGGGTCGTGGGGGGCCCAGGCCCCAAGACTTCCTTGGCTCATGATGGGAGAAGGTGGAGCGAGGGCCGCGGCCCCCAGCCCCCGGCCGGGCCCCGCTCCCGGTCCGGCTCTGCAGAGCAGCTCGGCTCGTGCGGCGGCGGCAGCGGCGGCGCTCTGGTCCCAGCCCCGCCTGGTGCCGGCCGAGGGGCGGGGAGCCGCGGCGCCGCCCGGGCCGCTCGCGTTGTCAGGGCGCCGGCCGCGGGGCGGGGCTTGCGGCGCCCGGGCGTCTCCGTTCACCCGCGTTCTCCGCAGCCCCTCGTGCCATGCGGAGCGCGGCGCCCCGAGGACCCGGCCGTCCCTTTCCGAGGGTCTCCGGCTGGAAACCGGGCGGCGAGGTGAGCGCGCAGTTGAGCGCCCCGATCACCTCCAAACGCCGCGGTCATTCCGAGAGCGCAGATCGGGTGAAGCCCTTGTCCGGACAGAGTGCCGAAGCTCGCAGCTGCCGAAGGGGGCTGGGTTCCCCTCTCTCCGCCGCTCCTCCGTCCCAGTTTCTCCATCTCCCAGGCGGACCACCACTTTCCTTCCCGGCCGGCGCGCCGCCATAGTGGAGCTCGCGCCCTCTTGCGGCAGTATTGCGCGTCGCCGCTCTTGGCGTCCGCGCGTGCCAGGCTGCGTGGGCCACGGTCACCCGCGCGCCTGCATCCCTCGATGCTTAGCGGGTGTACGTTCCCCAGGCGGGCAAAGCCCGGCTGGAGAGAGATCGTTATTTCAGCTTTCATATTGGCCTCTCACTGGAATATGGAAGACACCTAAATTCCTGTCGCCTGCAAACCTCTAAAGTCCCCAAACACACTACACTGTACAACGGCCTGAGTGGGCTTTGAAACCCATAGCTGCAAACACTATCAAATATATAGTGCACAAGGGAGAAAGAGGTAAGGAGTTTGCTTATGAAAATAAGCCGGGTCCAGTTCACCTTATTTTCCGTCTGCAAAGGTAAAAACAGAATTGGTGTCGGAGCAAGAAAGGAGGGAAACGTCAGAACTAAGGATGTTTGCCCCTGATGCCTTCTTGAGTTGTGAGTTAACTCCAGGACATATTCTGAGGCCAGGATGAAAGTGACAAGGGTCACAAATTCTGTTGATAACAAAGTAAATAAAACATGGAATTCCCAGCACAAATCCACAGATAATTCCTGAACCTCAACAAAATTAAAATGGGTGATTCTCGTTTCCTACCTTCTCACAACTTTGCTAATTTCCTTTGCCTCGGTTTTAGAATGCCAGCAGTGTCTCTGTGCGTTTGTGCATATCTCTCTCTCTCTCTCTCTCTCTCTCTCTCTCTCTCTCTCTCTCTCTCTCTCTGTGTGTGTGTGTGTGTGTGTGTGTGTAATCATAGGACAACTTGCAGGAATCTTCTCTAGTTCCACTTTTTGGGTCTCAGGAATCAAACTCAGGTTACCGGACTTGGCGGCAGCCGCAAGCAGCTTTACTGGATGATTCATCTTACAAACCACAAATCTCCTTTGGGAATTTTAAGAAATAAAGCTCAGGGGATTGGAGAGAGGAAGAGGACATTGAAAGGGGTACTAAGTAGGAGCCAGGAGTCAGTTCTGTGTAGATTTTACCTCAATCCCCATAACTTTATCACTTACACCGTTGACTGTATCCACAAGAAAAGGAGCAGCTGGAAATGTCAGGGAAACGAAAGTGAAGCATCCGAGTTAGGATTTGCTTCTGGCATATCTGAAAGTGTGTGTGTGTGTGTGTGTGTGTGTGTCTGTCTGTCTGTCTGTCTGTCTTGCGTGCGCATGCGCGCGCGCCTCCCGATCCTTCATATGTTCAAGTCCTAGTCCCCAGGTGGTGGTTACTTGGAGGGTTAGACCTTAGGGAAACATGTCTCCTTGTTGTGGCAAAAATAACTGGCACAAGCAGTTTAATAAAATGGTTACTGTGGTTCACAGTGAGGTGACAATCTATCATGTAAGGGAAGGCATGTCAAGGAGCAGGAGAGTGGGGCGGCTGGTCACTTTTAACCTTCGGGCAGATTCAATGAAGCAGAAAAAAACGCTAATACTCAGCTCATTTTAAATCCTTTTGCATTCACCGACCCTAGCCTATAGAATGCTGCCACCTTCGTTCTGGGTGTGCCTTTGTGAACTTTTCTTCAGTTAAATCTTTCTGGAAACACCTTTACAGACGTGCCTAGAGCGGTCTCTCTATAATGATTCTAAAGCCTGTCAAGTTGACCAAGAGACCTAATCATCACCAGGCAAGAGCCTTGTGATCACATTACTCTTGTAAGGAGAGGAAGAGCGAGATTGTGCCTGCTAAAACTCCTGAGTGGAAAAGGTTGGTTATAGGAGCCACGGGCAGGTCCCCTAGTCTTCAAGCCAGGAAGCTGACCCTGCTGGTACATCAAATCTGTGGGCACCTTCATCTTGGAATTCCCAGGCTCTGGAACTGTGAGTTGCTTGTTGTTTAAGGCCCCTACCTAGTCTATTATACTCTACTGCAGCAGTCCATGAAGACTAAGACCTTTGGTGTGTGTGTGTGTGTGTGTGTGTGTGTGTGTGTGTGTGTGTGTGTGTGTGAGAGAGAGAGAGAGAGAGAGAGAGAGAGAGAGAGAGAGAGGACATGTCTGTGTGTAGTCTACACTGGCCTTGAACTTGATGAGATCCTACTGCTCCAGCTCCCAAGTGCTGGGATTTCAGCTGTCTCTCTTCACATCTGGCCTAAAACAGTTTTTAAAAGTTAATCAATATGTAAAATAAGAAAGTATTAAAAAATAAAAGTTAATTGCAGAGAAGATTCTATTGCTCTCTTTTAAGTTAGTACTTAAAAGAAGGCAGGTTTTGTACAGCACATGTGTTCCAAAGAAGTTTCAGTATTTCTATAATCTCACATTTCAATTTAAGGGAATTCATAAATGTATACAATCACTCGACTTTAATGTACTTTTAAGTTTTTATTTTATGTGTGTATACCACATTCTTGTCTGGTGCCCAAGGATGTTGCCAGTTTTTCTCTGTGTCTCCTGCCTACTCCCAAAGAACCACAAGGAGACTTTTTTATTAATAATGAAACCTCAGCCAGTAGCATAGGCTTGATTCTGACTTAAATCAGCCCATTTCTGTGAGTTTACTCATGGCTTATTGTCTCATCTCTGTAGTGCCCATCCTGCCTGCATTTTTCCTCCTGACTCCACTCTTCTTCTTCTTCTTCTTCTTCTTCTTCTTCTTCTTCTTCTTCTTCTTCTTCTTCTTTTTCTTCCTTCTTCTTCTCCTTCTTCTTCCTTCTTTCTTCTTCTTCTTCTTTTTCTCTTCTTCTTTCCTTCTTCTTCTTCTCTTCTTCTTTCCTTCTTCTTCTTCTTCTTCTTCTTCTTCTTCTTCTTCTTCTTCTTCTTCTTCTTCTTCTTCTTCTCCTTCTTCTCCTTCTCCTCCTCCTCCTTCTTCTTTCTTCTTCTTTCTTCCCAGCGTCCTCTGTGCCTGGAAACCCTACCTAGCTATTGGCTGTTCAGCTTTTTATCAGCCAATCAGAGTGACACATTTTCACAGCCATTCTGGCAGGGGTAAGATGGTATCTCAAAGTTGTTTTGATTTGCATTTCCCTGATTGCTAAGGATGTGGAGCATTTCTTAAGTGTCTTTCAGCCTTTTTGATTTCCTCTATTGAGAATTCTTTCTTCAGTTCTGTACCCCATTTTTTAATAGGGTTATTTGGTGTTTTGTCTGTGGGCTGCCGTTTGGTCTTGTCCACTATGTCCTTTGTCTTACAGAAGCTTCTAAAGTTTGAAGAGGTCCCATTTATTAATTGTTTCTCTCAGTGTCTGTGCCCCTGGAGTTATGTTCAAGAAGTGGTCTCCTATACCAATTTGTTCAAGGGTACCTCCTACTTTCTCTTCTAAGAGGTTCAATGTGGCTGGATTGAAAAACAGTGTTTTTAACCACAGATCCATCTCTACAGCCCTCTGCCCTTCATCTTTTAAACATAAACTAGTCAGTTGAGGAAGCTTTATGAAACTTAGGACACCTAATGAATATGTACACAAATTACTCTGAACAATTACTGTAATAATTACTACATACAACTTGTTATGATAAAGTGTAAGGGGAACCTTGGCAGATTCCATGGCAGGCAAGGGTGACCAAGGCGGGGAACAAACATGCCAGGCAGCAGAATTTAAGTGAGAAGTTTTATTAGAAAGGGGAGGGAGGGGGAAGGAAAGAGAAAAGAGGTAAAGAGACATAGACACACAGAGAGAGGACAAAAGAGAAGAGGGAGACAGGAAAAGTCCTGTCTGCCCCAGGAGAACAGCAAGAAAGAGAGCATAAGTGGGTGGCAGGGGGTAGGATAGGGTGTCTTTCTTTTAAAGGGGTCCTTTGCACCTTTGTGTAGAATACACAACCATGGAATCCTGGGCTGAATAGGGTACTGCCTGAGTGCATTCTGCCAGATGACAGGGGCAGGCCAGCATAATGCCTGAATTCTTACACAACCAACTTTCAGTGATATATGGTTCAGCTATGTGTCCATTTACAAACAAACAGACAAAAATTCAGAAGTAAAAATTTCCCAGGGCCTATGATCACCCCTAACCATAAGTTCTGTCAAGATTCCCAGTACTATGCATGTATTACCTACCAGAGTGGGCTGTAAATCTAATCAGAAAGCAATTGGTTACCCATCAAATAGTGGTGCTTCTATCACATCAGTGAGTATCTCTTACCTGGATAATCAATATTGTTGATTGTTTTCTATCTATTTTAAGGTGTGTTACTTTTGTTTATGCTCTGGAACATTTGTTTAATGATACAAAGATGTGTTTGATTAAGTAAAATTCACCTGCGGTCAGGAGACTGGGTTAGCAACTAAGCTGACTAAAATTACCACAGGTTTGCTCACAGGCCAATCTGGTGGCAGCATTTTCTCAATTGAACCTCCCTCTTCCCAAATGACTCAAGCTTGTGTGTCAAGCTGACATAAAACCACAGCACACATGAACTAATGTAATAAGATTTTGAGTAGAGGAGAGAGATTGGGCTGAAATGCTAACACAAGTAGAAAGAGTGGACATTTGTAGCCAAGCAGTCATGTAGAGGACAGTGTCTAGGGCATTAAAGTGAGGAAGCATCCTGCTAAGAGGACTTCTAGCTAAAAATCTGATTGTGCTAGATAGTTTTATGTCAACTTGACACAAGCTTAAGT